CAGGGGAGAAATATTTCAAGAAATACTACTAACTCTTATATATTATTAGATGAGAAAAGCAAGTTGTAGAACAGCAAGGATGGTATCAAAACTTTAATATTAAAAATGATATTTTTAGATGCACTTGCCTATACATGCACAGAAAATGGTCCAGGAAAAACACGCCTTGTTAATAGCAGTGTTTCATTCTGGGGAAGAGAGAGGCTTGGGGAGGCCTGGAAGAGCCAAGGGGACTTATCCTGTCAACTCTGTACTTTGTATTATTTACTTTTTTTACAGGATTAAATGTAACTGGTGTAAATACCATAGAAAATAATAAAAATACTTTAAAACTGTAACCTCGCACACGCGTGCATACATACACAGCTGTAACTAAGATAAGGCACTACAGGCTTTGACTCTAAACTCTAAGATTTAGAGTTACAAACATTTCACTCAAGGAAGATGAACTGTGAAACTGTCAATCCAGTTTTGTGTCTATTTTGGCTATACAAGTCACTTTCTCAGCAACATGGAAACAAATGAGCTGAGGCCTTAGTTAACAATAATTTGTAGAAATAAAAAGATACAAATAATCTGTTTTGTTAACACACCAGCTGTCAAAGGGCTGATGCTTCCAGAGTTGACTGGGGACCAATTTTCTGTTGCTTTATCAAGCGTCTTAGTTTTAATTGCATTTCTTTACTTTCTCACAACCTCTAGGCAGACAGGGTGGAGTGGCCTCATCCAACTGTCAGAGCTTATCTTGTGCCGTTATAAGATGAGTTGGTGAAGAGAGAGTCCGGTACCACAGAGAAGACCTTTTCATCTGCTGCCATTGGCCTTGGGCCTCCTGGGACACTCCTGTGTCATTCTGAATAAGGAATTGTGTCACTTTCTAAATCTAGTTGTTAAAAGAAAATATTTTTAGAAATATTTCAATCAAAACATTATACAACACCCATGTATAATCACCCAAATTAAGCTGATTTAGACATTTTTTCCACCATAGCTTCTGATGTGATGTTTTAAAATGTATTTTTTTAAAACTGCAAATACAGCTAAAGCCCTCCCTCCCCCAGCTCTGCTCAATTTTACTTTCTTTTGCAGAGTTAACCAGTCTCCTGAATTGAGTATTAACTTTAGCAGGCACAGTTTTAAGTCTCTCCACATAAATGTGTGCCCCGTTCAGTACCTCTGCAGGCACATGCAAATGGGCTGATTGAGGTAGACTAGTAAAGGCAGGCTCCTAAATGTTCTATTTGCAAATGTGTAAGCTGGGATAAGGGAACTCAGCAAAGGGTGGGGTGAAGCACCTCAAGAATAATGAAGGGAGTCATTATCCTGCCTAGGCTTGGAGGGAGGAGAAGTATCTGCTAGAGAGACCCTGAAACACTAGCTACTGCAAGAGTGGGCTACCCCTCTCCATGCCCCCCAGCCCCACAGCAGCTGCGGTGGTCAGTGAACCAACCACTGGTCTCTGCAGACCCACAGCCTGTCAAGGAGGGAGTGGGCAGGCAGGGGGGCCGGTGAGGGGGCCCAGTTCCCCTCACCTCCCCCCTCAAACTCCCACTGGTGCCTAGGCCAGCTGTGGTGGGGAAGGCTGGAAGGTGTATCTGGCAATTGGAGAATATGGGTACACAGCAAAGCAAAGCATTGTATGCATGTTTTACTTTCTGTTTTACATAAACAGTATCATATGTTTACACATGCTCTCTCAGCCTGCTTTTTTGATTCACCATTATATTTCTGATGGTTATCCATGCTGAACACTATGTAGCTCTAATTCATGTATACATTTTAACGGCTCTATAGTATCCCATCATTTCACTCTCACAAGCGCTGCTGCAATGAACAGGTTGACTTACACATGGCCAACCCATAGGTACAAAAACCTTGCTTAGGTACATACATAAAAGTGTGGTTGTTGAGTTCAGATTATGTGCATATTAACTTTACGAAGTATTGCGAAATTGCTTCCTACTGTAATTATTCCAATTTGCATTCCCGCAGGCCAAGCACAAAAGTCCCCTTTTCTGATTCTCCACTCTCACCACTGTCACCTGGCTTGAAAACTTTGCCATTCTAATGGCTCTGAAATCACAGCTCATTGTTATTTTAACTTGCATTTGCCTGAGAAAGAGCACTCTTCACTTTCCTGTGCCTCATAATTCCCGAGGGTGACACTGAGGTCAGGACAGAACAGTTTACCATGAAGCGAATGTTAGCGCTCCTTATGTTCACAGTCAATGGCCATTGTAAAAGACGCCCCCAGCTGATTTCTCACATCTTGTATTCCTGGAGTTTTCCACACATATAGCTCATGGGTGTGCTGGATGCTTTCATGATGCAATGCTTGCTAATCCATTTCACAAGAAAACAACTCCCAAATAGTCTTGGGTTCTTGCTTTTTTCGTCACTTTTGAGGGCTCCTGTTGAAAGGAAAGTCCCTTATAAAACCAGCTCCAAGATTTTTTTTCCACGTGAAAAAGACAAGATATAAAACAAAAGGTGTTGAAGAGTTTACGTTTGTTTAAAAATTTAAAAGATATAACATGCTTATACAGGCTTGGGATATTTTAGGGACAATATTCTAGAAACAAGAAGTAGTTGCTTTGGGGGAGGAGACTAAGAATTTTAGGCTGGGGATGAGAAGCAGATGCAGTCTGTGTTAGAGAACTCTTGGTATTCATTGATATGTTTGTTTTATCACATCCCAACAAACCAGAGAATATGTCTAATTAAAACACAAATTAATGACTCTTTTCATTCCAAATCATGTTGTTTTAACTCACCCTTAAATGGATTATTAAGCACAGAGCTTTATGAAGAGGAGCTTAACTCTCTAAACTTGTGAAACAGAAATGTCAACACTTTGACATATTTTTTTCCATCATCAGAGATTTCCTTTTATTACAAACAGCCCACATTATGCTTTCAGTTTAAAAGTCAGTAATGGACAGAGGCCAGTTTAACACCCTGGAAAAGAAGGGCAAATAGCTGTCAAAGTCTTACAAAAGTGCTTAGAAAACTAAGTGTTTCATGTGTTCATTTCAGGGAAGTTGTGAAATTTGCTTTTACCTCTGTAAAACAGATAACAGTGTGACTGTGCTATGCTGAAATCTGTTTTTTTATTTAAGACAAGATTCCATTGTACATTCTTCCCGTATCTCTGACACGTTTGCTGAGCAGAGAGCAGGTCGTTCCGTTATCCCCGGCACCCTCCCTCAGGACTGCTTCATCCTCCACTGCTGTACCCCCACAGCCCTTTGTAGGGCTAGTAGTTCTCTGCTGGTGTAGCACCCTGGGTCCCAGACAAGCACACATGCTTTCTGGTACTTTCTTACGGCAGCTGCTCTGGTCTGAATGTTTATGTCCCCACAGAATTTCTATGTTGACAACCCTAACTCCCAAAGTGATGGAATTAAGAGGTGGGGCATTTGAGAGGTGATCAGGTCATGGGGTGGAGCCCTCTTGAATGGGATTGGTGTCCTTATTAAACAGGCCCAAGAAAGCTCCCATGCCCCTTCTGCCAGGTGAGGACAGAATGAAAAGATGGTCATCTAGGAACCAGGAAGCCGGCCTTCACTAAACGCCGAATCTGCTGCCGCCTTGATCTCAGAATGCTCAGCCTCCAGAGCTGTGAGAAATAAACTTGGGCTGTTTATAAGCCATCCAGTTGCTGGTATTTTGTCACAGCAGCCCAGATAGACTAACGCAGCAGTCCCAGCAAGGCTCCTGCTGGCATATAGGTGTTCTAGTACAAAACTTTTTAAAAAGCACCTCATCTGGGTGGACAGATATCAAGCTTTGTGCCCACTCTGTGCAGATGAACTGCAAAACATTTGCACCCTGCCTTTTCTGCTTGCACAAGGAAGCAACCCTCCCACTGTACCCTACAACTCCCCTCACCGACTGGAGCTGGGTTTTGCCACTTGTAACCAAAGAATCCTGTCATAGGCATTATCAGGTACCGCGAATTAGTGTGTTACCTCTCATAAATCATTTTCTGGAATCCATCGAAATGAGATGACTGAAGATCATGAATGTAGGGTCTGTGACCACCAATGCAGGCTTATGGTTTTCGTAGTTAGAGATCTAGATGCACCTCCAAGTTCACAATTGCATTCCCTCCCTGTACACCTGAGGCAGAGGTTGTATTGCTTGCCCACGTCCCCTCACCCTGCCCCTTCAGCGGTCAGGCTCCACTGCTGACAGCACTTCCTCTTGCTGCCAGAGATCACTTTGCCCACCGACATGATGGGCCAGAGTGCCCAGGAGCTGTCACTACCCTGGGAGTGGCCCTTAATGCCTGACTGATGGCAGATGGCATACTGAACACGCTTGCTGTCTCTCCTCTCCTGTGGGTCTGCTCTGGCTCCTGGTGGCTCCCTGGGGATGCATTTCCCCACTCTCTCTTCCCTGTGTGGTAGCTCCCTTGATAACTCACCTTGGGTGGCTGCTTTCCCTTCCCTGTCTCACGTCTCCACCCTCCAGCCCTCTCGTACTGGTGTTTCCTGGGGTTATTTCCCATATAACTACTACTCTGAGTCCTTGTCTCAGAGACAGCTTCTGGAGGTTTCCACATTATGATAAGACCTATGTGTAGGGTCATCCCAGGCATTAGTGGCCCTAATCAGCCACTAAATGTCCAGACAGCTTCAGGTCAACCACTCTGGACCTTGGCTTCTGTCTGGAAAGAGAGATGGCTTGTCCATCTAAAATAGGAATTTTTTTTTTACGTAAGATATTAGAGAGTCTGATTGAGTAATTACGTTTTCTTTTAAGAACACCCTTTACTTTTTTCTGACTATACAGGTAAAACATGACCATTATACTGCCTTGTTAATAGCAGTGTTTCATTCTGGGGAAGAGAGAGGCTTGGGGAGGCCTGGAAGAGCCAAGGGGACTTATCCTGTCAACTCTGTACTTTGTATTATTTACTTTTTTTACAGGATTAAATGTAACTGGTGTAAATACCATAGAAAATAATAAAAATACTTTAAAACTGTAACCTCGCACACGCGTGCATACATACACAGCTGTAACTAAGATAAGGCACTACAGGCTTTGACTCTAAACTCTAAGATTTAGAGTTACAAACATTTCACTCAAGGAAGATGAACTGTGAAACTGTCAATCCAGTTTTGTGTCTATTTTGGCTATACAAGTCACTTTCTCAGCAACATGGAAACAAATGAGCTGAGGCCTTAGTTAACAATAATTTGTAGAAATAAAAAGATACAAATAATCTGTTTTGTTAACACACCAGCTGTCAAAGGGCTGATGCTTCCAGAGTTGACTGGGGACCAATTTTCTGTTGCTTTATCAAGCGTCTTAGTTTTAATTGCATTTCTTTACTTTCTCACAACCTCTAGGCAGACAGGGTGGAGTGGCCTCATCCAACTGTCAGAGCTTATCTTGTGCCGTTATAAGATGAGTTGGTGAAGAGAGAGTCCGGTACCACAGAGAAGACCTTTTCATCTGCTGCCATTGGCCTTGGGCCTCCTGGGACACTCCTGTGTCATTCTGAATAAGGAATTGTGTCACTTTCTAAATCTAGTTGTTAAAAGAAAATATTTTTAGAAATATTTCAATCAAAACATTATACAACACCCATGTATAATCACCCAAATTAAGCTGATTTAGACATTTTTTCCACCATAGCTTCTGATGTGATGTTTTAAAATGTATTTTTTTAAAACTGCAAATACAGCTAAAGCCCTCCCTCCCCCAGCTCTGCTCAATTTTACTTTCTTTTGCAGAGTTAACCAGTCTCCTGAATTGAGTATTAACTTTAGCAGGCACAGTTTTAAGTCTCTCCACATAAATGTGTGCCCCGTTCAGTACCTCTGCAGGCACATGCAAATGGGCTGATTGAGGTAGACTAGTAAAGGCAGGCTCCTAAATGTTCTATTTGCAAATGTGTAAGCTGGGATAAGGGAACTCAGCAAAGGGTGGGGTGAAGCACCTCAAGAATAATGAAGGGAGTCATTATCCTGCCTAGGCTTGGAGGGAGGAGAAGTATCTGCTAGAGAGACCCTGAAACACTAGCTACTGCAAGAGTGGGCTACCCCTCTCCATGCCCCCCAGCCCCACAGCAGCTGCGGTGGTCAGTGAACCAACCACTGGTCTCTGCAGACCCACAGCCTGTCAAGGAGGGAGTGGGCAGGCAGGGGGGCCGGTGAGGGGGCCCAGTTCCCCTCACCTCCCCCCTCAAACTCCCACTGGTGCCTAGGCCAGCTGTGGTGGGGAAGGCTGGAAGGTGTATCTGGCAATTGGAGAATATGGGTACACAGCAAAGCAAAGCATTGTATGCATGTTTTACTTTCTGTTTTACATAAACAGTATCATATGTTTACACATGCTCTCTCAGCCTGCTTTTTTGATTCACCATTATATTTCTGATGGTTATCCATGCTGAACACTATGTAGCTCTAATTCATGTATACATTTTAACGGCTCTATAGTATCCCATCATTTCACTCTCACAAGCGCTGCTGCAATGAACAGGTTGACTTACACATGGCCAACCCATAGGTACAAAAACCTTGCTTAGGTACATACATAAAAGTGTGGTTGTTGAGTTCAGATTATGTGCATATTAACTTTACGAAGTATTGCGAAATTGCTTCCTACTGTAATTATTCCAATTTGCATTCCCGCAGGCCAAGCACAAAAGTCCCCTTTTCTGATTCTCCACTCTCACCACTGTCACCTGGCTTGAAAACTTTGCCATTCTAATGGCTCTGAAATCACAGCTCATTGTTATTTTAACTTGCATTTGCCTGAGAAAGAGCACTCTTCACTTTCCTGTGCCTCATAATTCCCGAGGGTGACACTGAGGTCAGGACAGAACAGTTTACCATGAAGCGAATGTTAGCGCTCCTTATGTTCACAGTCAATGGCCATTGTAAAAGACGCCCCCAGCTGATTTCTCACATCTTGTATTCCTGGAGTTTTCCACACATATAGCTCATGGGTGTGCTGGATGCTTTCATGATGCAATGCTTGCTAATCCATTTCACAAGAAAACAACTCCCAAATAGTCTTGGGTTCTTGCTTTTTTCGTCACTTTTGAGGGCTCCTGTTGAAAGGAAAGTCCCTTATAAAACCAGCTCCAAGATTTTTTTTCCACGTGAAAAAGACAAGATATAAAACAAAAGGTGTTGAAGAGTTTACGTTTGTTTAAAAATTTAAAAGATATAACATGCTTATACAGGCTTGGGATATTTTAGGGACAATATTCTAGAAACAAGAAGTAGTTGCTTTGGGGGAGGAGACTAAGAATTTTAGGCTGGGGATGAGAAGCAGATGCAGTCTGTGTTAGAGAACTCTTGGTATTCATTGATATGTTTGTTTTATCACATCCCAACAAACCAGAGAATATGTCTAATTAAAACACAAATTAATGACTCTTTTCATTCCAAATCATGTTGTTTTAACTCACCCTTAAATGGATTATTAAGCACAGAGCTTTATGAAGAGGAGCTTAACTCTCTAAACTTGTGAAACAGAAATGTCAACACTTTGACATATTTTTTTCCATCATCAGAGATTTCCTTTTATTACAAACAGCCCACATTATGCTTTCAGTTTAAAAGTCAGTAATGGACAGAGGCCAGTTTAACACCCTGGAAAAGAAGGGCAAATAGCTGTCAAAGTCTTACAAAAGTGCTTAGAAAACTAAGTGTTTCATGTGTTCATTTCAGGGAAGTTGTGAAATTTGCTTTTACCTCTGTAAAACAGATAACAGTGTGACTGTGCTATGCTGAAATCTGTTTTTTTATTTAAGACAAGATTCCATTGTACATTCTTCCCGTATCTCTGACACGTTTGCTGAGCAGAGAGCAGGTCGTTCCGTTATCCCCGGCACCCTCCCTCAGGACTGCTTCATCCTCCACTGCTGTACCCCCACAGCCCTTTGTAGGGCTAGTAGTTCTCTGCTGGTGTAGCACCCTGGGTCCCAGACAAGCACACATGCTTTCTGGTACTTTCTTACGGCAGCTGCTCTGGTCTGAATGTTTATGTCCCCACAGAATTTCTATGTTGACAACCCTAACTCCCAAAGTGATGGAATTAAGAGGTGGGGCATTTGAGAGGTGATCAGGTCATGGGGTGGAGCCCTCTTGAATGGGATTGGTGTCCTTATTAAACAGGCCCAAGAAAGCTCCCATGCCCCTTCTGCCAGGTGAGGACAGAATGAAAAGATGGTCATCTAGGAACCAGGAAGCCGGCCTTCACTAAACGCCGAATCTGCTGCCGCCTTGATCTCAGAATGCTCAGCCTCCAGAGCTGTGAGAAATAAACTTGGGCTGTTTATAAGCCATCCAGTTGCTGGTATTTTGTCACAGCAGCCCAGATAGACTAACGCAGCAGTCCCAGCAAGGCTCCTGCTGGCATATAGGTGTTCTAGTACAAAACTTTTTAAAAAGCACCTCATCTGGGTGGACAGATATCAAGCTTTGTGCCCACTCTGTGCAGATGAACTGCAAAACATTTGCACCCTGCCTTTTCTGCTTGCACAAGGAAGCAACCCTCCCACTGTACCCTACAACTCCCCTCACCGACTGGAGCTGGGTTTTGCCACTTGTAACCAAAGAATCCTGTCATAGGCATTATCAGGTACCGCGAATTAGTGTGTTACCTCTCATAAATCATTTTCTGGAATCCATCGAAATGAGATGACTGAAGATCATGAATGTAGGGTCTGTGACCACCAATGCAGGCTTATGGTTTTCGTAGTTAGAGATCTAGATGCACCTCCAAGTTCACAATTGCATTCCCTCCCTGTACACCTGAGGCAGAGGTTGTATTGCTTGCCCACGTCCCCTCACCCTGCCCCTTCAGCGGTCAGGCTCCACTGCTGACAGCACTTCCTCTTGCTGCCAGAGATCACTTTGCCCACCGACATGATGGGCCAGAGTGCCCAGGAGCTGTCACTACCCTGGGAGTGGCCCTTAATGCCTGACTGATGGCAGATGGCATACTGAACACGCTTGCTGTCTCTCCTCTCCTGTGGGTCTGCTCTGGCTCCTGGTGGCTCCCTGGGGATGCATTTCCCCACTCTCTCTTCCCTGTGTGGTAGCTCCCTTGATAACTCACCTTGGGTGGCTGCTTTCCCTTCCCTGTCTCACGTCTCCACCCTCCAGCCCTCTCGTACTGGTGTTTCCTGGGGTTATTTCCCATATAACTACTACTCTGAGTCCTTGTCTCAGAGACAGCTTCTGGAGGTTTCCACATTATGATAAGACCTATGTGTAGGGTCATCCCAGGCATTAGTGGCCCTAATCAGCCACTAAATGTCCAGACAGCTTCAGGTCAACCACTCTGGACCTTGGCTTCTGTCTGGAAAGAGAGATGGCTTGTCCATCTAAAATAGGAATTTTTTTTTTACGTAAGATATTAGAGAGTCTGATTGAGTAATTACGTTTTCTTTTAAGAACACCCTTTACTTTTTTCTGACTATACAGGTAAAACATGACCATTATACAATTTTGGAAAAAGCAGAAAAATAAACTGAGAAAAATTAAATTACCTATAATTCCACCCCTTGAGGATATTTTTTCAAAAGTAGAGGTAAATCATGGCTCCTCAAATCCTAACATTCTATGTTTATTTTTCCTGTCTTATTGCAATATAATCAACATACAACATGGGGTATAAGTGGGGTGTACAGCATAATGATTTGACTTACATATTCTGTGAAATGATCACCACAATAAGTTTAGTTAGCACCCAGCATCTCAAATAGATACAAAAACAAAAGAAAAAGAAAAAAAGGGGTTTTCTTTTCTTTGTGATGAGAACTCTTAGGATTTACTCTCTTAATAATGTCCCTGTATATCATACAGCAGTGTTAGGTGTGGTCATTGTGTTGTACATTACATCCCTAGGACTTTTTTATCTTGAAACTGGAAGTTGCTTCCTTTTGACCACCTTCCTCCATTCTTGTAATCCCCAACCCCCATCCCTGGTAACCACAAATCTGATCTCTATTTCTAGGTTTGGCTTTTTCGGTTTTGGGACTCCACATATAAGTGAGAACATTCTGTGTTTAGACTCTGGCTCTGCAGAACAACTATAATCCTAAGATTTTCTGCAAGCGTTATATTGCTGTGTGTAGACGCAGTTTGATATAAATTGCTTGTACAGCACGAGGAGGAAATGACTGCAGGAGTTTTATGTAACAGAACAGGAAACTGAATGCACACGGCTTTCTTTGTCAAGAAAGAGAAATTGGTTACCAACCAGTGCTTTCAAGTTCAGACCAGGAGTTTACAAAAAAAGAGGAAGTTACTGAATGTGGCAGAGAAAATTAGGATATGAAAATCAGTAGCCTCAGCATGAAGTTTATTTAGATGATTGAACTATTTTTCTCAAACTGTGAGGAAACAAAGGGCCAGAGGAAGACAAATCTAACCATAAAGATAGATTTCTGATTCAAAAGAAGAGCTTGAGTGTGGGCCATCAAGTGAGGCAGAAGCGGGGTCTGTTTTAATAACGGCAAAAAACATTTTGCAAGGTAATGTACATGCTGATAGAGTGAGAGCAGGTGGAAACACCCTAAGAAGACAACCCCAGGGAGCAACAGGAATGATAAGGAAAATATTAAATATGTGCTGGAAACAGCCCTAACATAAAGACTTGAGTTCAAGCGTGGCTTTCTGTTGTGGGCAACTGAGGCTTTGTTTCACTGGTACCTCCAGCACATGAAATGCCAAGCTGAGACCAGCCCCAGCTGCAGACTCCTGAGGACACAGAATGCTTGTGGGTTGAAGCCACTGAATTTTGAGGTGGTTTCTTGGTGAAGAAATAGGTAACTGATAAAGTGAGGGAGACTGATGGTGTAAACAGAACAACCCCCAAATATGTCCACTTCTAATCCCTGGAACCTGTAAATATATTACATGACATGACAAAGGCTCTTTGCAGATAGAGTTAAGGTTAATGACCTTCAAATAGATTATCCTGAATCATCTGGGCCCAATCTAATCACAAAACCCTTAGAAGCAGACAACTTTCTCTAGCTGGGGTCAGAGAGGTGTGGCAGAAGAAAAAGTTGGAGAGGTTTTAAGTATAAGAAAGACTTGACCTGCTTTTGCTGGATGAGGCCACATGGCAAGCATGAGAAGTAATGCAAGAAGTCTGGAAGAACCAAGGACCAGGTCTTGGCAGACAACTGGCAAGGAAACTGGGACACCAGTCCTACAACCATGAGGAACTGAACCCAGCCATACCCGGAATGGGCTTGGAAGCCAGTCCCTCTCCAGGAACTAAAGATGGGAACAAAGCCATACTGTCACTGTAATCGCAGCATTGTGACACTAAGCAGAGGATTTAGCTGAGCCATGCTGTGCCTGGACTTCTCACATACAGAACTGTGAGGTAATAAATGGGTTTTGTTTTAACCACCATGTGGTATTTGTTACAGTGGAAATAGAAAACTCATACCAAAGTGCAAACTGACTGCTGCAAGGGATTGGGGGCAATGTTACTCTAAGGAGTGTGTCCCAGATGATAGGCAGAAGAAATAGCCAACTCTGCAGAGGGAAGTGGAGAACGATACTGTAGAAGGAAGGGTTTGAGGTGGGTTTTGAAGGAACAGTTTCTTAGGTCAGATTCCTTCAGAAGCAGACCCTGAGAAAAAGAGCTGAGAGCAAGTAGCTGTTTTAGGTGATAATCTCAAGAAATAGTGGGGGAGTCAGAAACTGAGACAGGGCAAGGAAAGAGGTCAATAAAAATGAATTTTCCAGCAAGCTAACATTGTTGACAAATGGAGCTTAGCCCTTCTGAGGAACACTGGAAAACAGTGTAGAATATGCCTCAGAACTACCATATTCAAGGGACAAGGGGATGGGGGATAATGAATCCCTGTCATCAGTGATTGAGAGCTTCTCTTGGGGCATTAATATCTTGGCATTTCTGCTTGTCATAGATGCAAAATACACAGATATTTCCAGATTGCAGACTCACCACTACTTCAAAATCATGTTTTTGTAGGCCTGATACTTAATGTATTAATAAAGAAGCATATGTATCAAATAATTTTGTTATTGCTTAATATTTTGAGAAGGGCATTTCAAT